CACCCTGGTTGGATTTTCATTTGGAGAATCACCCTATAATAATTGGAATCTTCAGTCTTCAAAATATAGTAGCCTGTTGTGCCTACATCATACGATCCCCAAGCAAGACCAACACAGAGCCGATGTCTGAGGCAAAACACACAGGAGTTTATTGATTACGAGCCTGGGCTTTGTCCATATTCCAGCTTTCTGGCACAGTGAGTGGAGGATGATGACCCTAAGCTCTCAGAGTTTATAAAGGGAAAAACGGCAAGCAGGGTGGTACAAGGCTTTGCATCATAAGATTGGGTGAGGGTGTTTAACCTTTGAGTTTATTGGTTGGGGTTCAGAGGAATTTTTCAACAATGGTCATTGGAAGGACATTTGAGACCAGCAGATGTTGTTTATCAAAATTACTCATTGGCCAGCCCACCCTGGTAGGGTCACTTTGAACAGGGCCCTGGCTGTTTGTGGTTTCTCTTGGAGTTGCTTGAGGTTTTTGCTGGAACTAAGTTCAGCTTCTGGCCCAATGCTGTGTGAAATGGAGTTTTCTTTAAAATGGAGTTTGTCTTGCTCTCTGAGGCCAATGGTGATTAACTTTGAGTAGGGAACACTCTGGCTTTTCCCACCTCCTCTTAACATTTCCTGCTCACCAAGAGCCTCCTGCTGCTGAACTGCTGTTCCTCTCTGTCCTCTCTAGGAACTCTGCAAGCACAAACTCTGAGTCCCACTCAAACCCTTATCTTAGGAATTTACAGCCATTCTCTGAGCTACCCGCCTCTTAACCATTGTCAATGCATGGTCACCTCACCTTTGTGCCAGGGCACAGGTCTTCAGCTTTAGGCCAGATTCCCATGGCCTTATTGAGGCCACATCTCCTGCAGCTCACTCTAGGACAGAGTGTAGGTGGGAGCTGTCGGTGCTGTGACCTGACTACTCACAGTTAACACTACCTGGGTCCTCCAACGCTCCTTGTCACTTACACTACACGGAACTACGTCACATGGTGCGAAATTCCCCACCACAGCTAAAAGGTTATAAAAGATCAGACCTTGCCCTTGTTCTGGAGATCAAGAGAAGACTGCTAATGATGTTGTCCAGAAATGGAGAGTGTTCTCAGAAGAAGAGCCTCAATTTCCCTCCACAATCACTCTCCTGGTAGCTGTTTCTCATTCTTTCACTCTCCCTAGCTCTCTCTTATTTTCACTATTATTTTTAAAGCTTTGAAAAGTAATTTTTTAGAATTTCCTACATGCATATTGTGTTTACATTACATCCTTTCCATCCCACCCTCCCCCACTCTACCTCCTCCTAGGATTTTGACTCCCTTTCAACTTCATTGATATTTCTTTAATTATTATTATTATATTATTACAGATATATTTATGTATAAATCAATAAATTAATGTAATCTGATGAGTATGGTATGTAAAATGAATAAAAAAATTTAATTAAGAAAATTGGACTCTCTAAAGATTTCCCTTTGTATCCTACCATGTCAATTGGTATTGTCATTTTCCAGGTCTATGCAGCCATACAGTTAACTTTTCTTGGGTGAAGATTCCCCATAATATATAGAAGACACAATCTCATAGTACACATCCTGGTCTTCTGCCTCTTACAGTATTTCCAAACCTCTTCTGAGCTGTAGCCTGAACATCAAACAAGGGGGTCACGTTATAGATAGATCAGGTAGGGCTGGACACCCATGATGTCTATCTTAGTTAGGGTTTTATTGCTGTGAAGAGACATGGAGGCCATGGCAACTCTTATTAAGGAAAACTTTTAATTGGAGCTGGCTAACAGTTTCAGAGGTTTAGTCCATTATCGTCATGGCTAAAAACATGGTGGCCTATAGGCAGGCATGGTGCTGGGGAAGGAGCTGAGAGTTCCACATTGTGATCCTTGTGCAGCCAAAGGAGACTGTGTGCCACACTGGGAGTAGCTTGACCTTAGGAGACTTCAAAGCCCACCTCCACAGTGACAAACTTCCTCCAACAAGGCCACACCACTTAATAGTGTAACTCCCTAAGGGTCAAGCATTAAAACATGTGAGTCTATGGGAGACATTCCTATACATACCACCAAGCATCCATTTTTCACTGCACTTGGATTCATTTTGGATTTCTTTGGTGACCTCTGACTGTGCAACAAAAGCATCTTTAATGTAGGGCTAGAACTACACTTGTCTATGGGAATAAGGATGTGTATTTAGAATGGACCTTGAAATTAAACTTATTTAAGAAAGTGGCCATTATAGGTTCTCTACTAGGATTCATAACATTATCGATGTACAGTTGATTGCATTCCAGTACCAGCCATGATTTCCCTCCTTTTGTGCACCCTGAAGTCTAATTAGACAATTTTTGGTTACCTGCAAGAGATAACTGCCACTCTGGCATCTTTATGGATATTTTGCCATGCTAGTCATTGCTGTAGTTAGTAGGAATCCAAAGTGGGTAGGACAATTGATTATTTTCATCTGTCGCCAGCTTGCATGGAATCTTCAAGTATTATTAAGGTCTAGTCCTCAGAGAAGAGGTTTCTGCATCAGATCCAGCTAGATTCTGCTATACTTGTAGATCATTTCCTTAACCATTCATCATCAGAGAGGCTACCTCTGGCAACAGATGGGTAAAGAACAGATACAGACATCCACAACAGATACCTTGTGTGTTGGATAAAAGGGTCAGCCAAAGAACACACTCTGGCCCTGAAACCAGAGCCCAAAGGTTACAAAGGAGCAGTGAAAGGAACATACCCTGGTCCTGAAACCAGAGTCAAAAAAAGCACATCCTGACCAACTTGGCATGAAAACCAACCAATTCTAGAGCATGAAAACCAACCAGTCCCTGAGCACAAAATCCAACTAATCCCTGAGAGCACAAATTCCCTCCAATTTCTAAGCTTGTCCGAGCTCAGGGATTGAAATCCAATCAATTCCTACTCTGAAAATCTTCACCTTGAAAAAACGCTGCACCTAAGAAACCCTATACAAGCCCTGTTACTGCTCAGTTTGAAGATGCCTTTTTTCCACCCTGGCAGAGGCAGCCACTCTCCTGGATTCCTCCCTACCAATAAATCTCTTGAATGGGATTAGAGTGAAAAACCTTCCTTTACCTGGGTGGAGCCAGGCAAAGAAGTAACTGGTTTAGCCTGAGCTGGAGCAGAACTACTACATTTCTTCAAGGCTTCCTTAGCAGAGCAGAGCAGTAATGGCTCTTGCTGGAACAGGAGCAGAACTGCTACATCTCTACAGGGAAACTCCCTTAGCACAGCAGAGCAAAGCTGAGCAGGCCTGCAAAGGCTCATCTGGAGAAGAGCAGAACTGCAACATTCCTGCAGGGATACTGTGCCCTACTGGAACAGAGCTGCAGGTGTTACCTGGCTTCCTACCAGGATACCTTACCCTTCCAAGCTGTAGGTGTTATCTGGTTTCTGACAGCCAGTAGACATTCCCATTCAGAGCTGTAGGTATCACCTGGCTTCTAAAAGCCAGAAGAGCTTTCCCTTCAGAGCTGTAACATTTACAGGTATTACTTTGATTCAAGTGGCCAGGATAACTTTCCCTTCAGATCTGTAACACCTACAGGTATTGCCTGGCTTCTAATGGCCAGGATACATTTCCATCCAGAGCTGTAACACTTTCAGTGTGGACAGCCTAAATTGGATGTGTCCATCAAATCTATCCCCTCAGAGATCCAGGAACCCTTCAGTAGAGGAGGCAGAAAGAGTGTAAGAGCTAGAGGGAAGGGAGGACACCAGGAAAACAAGACCCTGTGAATCAACTAAGGAAGGCACATATGAACTCACAGACTGAATCAGCATGCACAGGACCTACATGAGTCAGCACTAGGTCCTCTGCATCTATGTTATATCTATTACCTCAGTCCTTTTTTTGTGAGACTCCTGACTCTGAGAACAAGACTCTGACTCTTGTGTCCGCTTTTGGGACTCCTTTGCTCCTGTTGGGTTGCAGGGTCCAGTATCAACATGACAGTTGCTGTTTCATCTTATTATATTTTATTTTGTCATGTTTCATTGTTATCTCTTAGAGGCCAAATCTTATCTAATGAAAGAAAGAAAGGGAGTGGATCTGATGGTAGGAGATGTAGGAAGGAGCTGGGAAGGGTTGAGAGAGGGAAAACTATAAACAGTATATATTGTAAGAAAAAGAATCCATTTTCAATAAAAGAAAAAAAAGTGTACTCGTGATAGTGATTAATGGCATTGGCAACCTTTAATCAGTTTAATTTTATTTTTAAAAGAGTAACATTCTTAATAATAGAAGTGAATTTTGAGAACTTTATGTCCATTTTTAAGATTACTAAAATTTCCATAACTACTCCATACTGATGGGGGTAATCGTACAGTGACTGATATGAAACAGACAAATACCTAGAAGCCCAGAAGTTACAGAGGTGGAACCATGAAGAAACACAAAACTATGTCCACAGTGAAACACAGGTAGACCCCTTCTCCTGTCACTCTTCCTCACTTCACCTAGACGAATAATGTGCAGGCAGCATGGGGCCTAGGTGAATTAGTTAAACAGGGAATGTATTTCAGCATGCAAGAGGATGTTTTTTCTCAATGCAAACATTGTACCATTTTCACAGCAGACTCAGAGCATCCAAAACTTCGAGGGCTCCTGAGATTACTTCCCATGAATTCTGAAAGATCCCTATATATTTGAACCACAAGCTAAGCTCTTAGGGTCTTTGAATTTTTGTTTACCATATTGATGCCTTTATTTTCCTTTTAAGACAACCTCACTTTAAATCCTGACCTTCCCTTTACATACACGTATCCCAGAATTATAGGTGTGAGTCACCATGCTGGCTGTACCTGATGAGTAACTAATCATTTCCATCATGGAACTTTTCTCCATTTTGCACCCCACTGACACAGAAATACCGGCATTCTTCTGTGGGTCTACTGTGGGGATGAGAGGAGAGGTCACTCACTCATCATGGCCAGGAGACTGGAAGACTGGTCTTCAAACTGAATTGGTTGGAGACCTCACACTTATACTCTCCAGCATCCTCACTTTTGATGGGATCTATTTTGAGTCCACACTTTGTTGGGGACATAGTCATCCTCTCTGTGAGCTTCAGACTCTTGTTATTGAAGAACCAGTGGATGAAGATATCAGTGTCGGGTGAGATGCAGGAGAAGACGACAGATCTACGTCCTGCGACTGTGGTGTCAGTGATTCGCACAAAGGGTTGGGTCACATTCTCTGTGAAGAAGCAGAGGAGGGTACTAAATGACAGGTGTCCGGAGTTCAACCAGGCCCTCCTTAGTTCATACTTTATAAAGCTTCCAGGGGGAGAATTTGGAACTGTGGCTATAGACATATTTCGTGCTTTGGATCTGCCACCCAGGGACTGTGTGACCCTGATGCAGGCACTGTTTCCTGTGTCTCAGTTTCCCCGTAATAGGACATACATGATCATTGCCATGTTCAAGAGTTAAGCTGAGTTATGAGCAATAGTGTGAACTTGGGGTGGGGAGCTGCTCACATCAGCAGCATCTGTTACTATTTACCTGCAGAAAAGAATTCCTTAGGATAGACTCCTGAGATGAAGGAGGAATCTGGAGCATCTGCCTCCTCTGTATGTTCCCTTGGTGCCTTGACTTTCCTGTCAAGGCTCCTAAGCCCATAAGAACAATAATAGTCTAATGGCCCAGACACCTGTCCACTGATCCTCAGGAGAAGGGGATGCCCAGGTGACCTACCTAACTTCAGCTGTCACGGCAGTAGAAGGTGGTGATTCTATACTCTATGGGATAGTCAGTCCCATGATTTGGACCATCAGTAAAGCCTTGTTCTCTGTCAGCTCTGACAGGAAATCTAAACACACAGTGAAAAAAAAAAAGCTCCCCAATTTCACCTCCAGTCCAGCCAGATGGAAAGTTTTCCAGTCGGGGCCTCCTGGGGGTCTCTGTGAGGACTCCATGGCTTCCTCAGTCAGGAACTACCTGACTCCCACAGAATTTTCTGGTGACATGAACATGGTGAGAGCTCCAGGCGTCTGGGCTGCACCTGATATCCTGGGACTGATTTTACCCAGCATATGTCCTCCACTCTGCAGGTAAAGACAGCTGAGTGGTTCTGATCTACTACAGTTTGGCTACCCTGTGTGTGTCCTGCAGTATGGGCCCAAATCCCAGTGGAAGGGACACAAGGCAGTTGGGGAGAGAGAAGGCACAGCCCAGTCCTGACAGTTTAGTGTATGAAGTAGGATAAGCTACCCCCAGCAGTTGCAGACCTTAGACACTGACTTACTCTTTACATAAAGTTCCACGGATGCTTTTTCAATTTTGGAATCATTCTTTGAAACTTCCAGTGTGTACATCCCTGCATCCTTCTCAGTGACGTTCTGGAGCATCAGGGATCCATTATTGTACACCATCCCTCTTCCTCTGTGTGCAGGCCACCAGATGGTGGAATTCCTAGCTCTGTTATATTCTACAGTTTTAGGGATCAGGGTCCCATACTTTGATTTGTACCAGATAAAGTTTAGCAGATCTTCTGGAAGATTATGAACTTGGAGAAGAATGCTTTCCCCTTCAGCAGGATACCGAGGCACCACTTGGATCATGAGTTGGGAAGATGTGAGAGGGTTACAGAACAGAGAAAGGGGAGCTGGAAGGGAAAGAGAAAAAAGCCATCACATGGGGATCATGGTGCTTGGTGAAAAGATGGTAACCTCCATCCTGAGAAGATGGATTCATCACTCAGCCTAGAGGTGCAGGTGTGTGTGTGTGTGTGTGTGTGTGTGTGTGTGTGTGTGTGTGTGTGTGTCTACTCCACTTACTGAAGGGCAGAAACATGACCTCTTCCTTCCCAACAGTGCCCCTGATAGTTGCATGAAACTGTTCTCTTGAGTGTCTACATGGCTGCTCCCTCACTGCCCTCAGTCAGACACTGCACACACTCATGCACACTGGGGTTTGAGATGATGCCTCTCCAGAACTCAACAGGCCTGGGACTTTAGCTTTCTAGGTTATTTCTTCAATTTCCTTTGAGCAACATTCAACCCCTGAGTTTACCCAATAGATTAACTTGCTGCTCTGTCCCGTATCCCTTAGGTCTGGAGCTATGTGGTTGCTGGGAGCAGTCTGATCTTCAAGGCAGGCTCAGGACTTTAAAAGGCTAGGTTACTAGGCTGGCTGGTTTTATGTCAACTTCACACAAGCTACAGTCATTTTGCAAGACAAAACCTCAGTTGAAAATGCCACCGCCATATTGACCTTTGGGCAAAACTATAATACATATTTTTAAATTAGGGATTGATGCAAAAGGTTCAGATTAATGCACGCAGTTCAGGCACTGGGCTAGGAGTCCTGGATGATGTAAGAAAGCTGGTTGAGCAAGTATGAAGAGCAACCAATAGGAAGTACTCCTCCATGGTCTCTGTACCAGTTCCTGGATTTTATTTGTGACTTTCTCAAATTGGGCCTAATAAATACCCCAGTTTAACATGGATGTTCTAAAACTATTGTTCTCTTCCAGCTTTGTAAAAGTAGAACTCTAGAAAATGCTCCCCTGGGTCACTTTAGTCCAGCCTTGGAAAGATGACAGGGCTCAGGGATCCCTGGTTTAGAGCCCCAAGAGCCTGGGCTGACTCTGACATCTTAGGCTGAGTTACTTTCCATCAATGTCTTCCCTGATGCAGGTGGAGTTAGAAGATGGAAGATGATCTACGGACATTTGTCTCTACCAGTGTGTTCTGCACTAAGTGCTCAAACCTCCCTGTGGGGACACAGTGCAGAGGGGAGGGAGGCCACGGCAGCCATGACATTCCTGTGTGTCTAAGCCCCACCCAGCCCTGAACAGTCACAGAGAGTCACTTACTGTCCACCTGGAGTTGCACCTCAGCTTCTTCAAGTTCGTCATCTCTTCTCAGAATTTGTAGGAAGTACAATCCATGGTCTTTCTGAGTGACACCACGGAGCAGCAGAGATCCATCACTGTACAAGGTCTCCCTGCCAGTGTATGCAGGCCCCCACTTAGTTGATTTCCTATCTGGTATATGCCGGATAACCAAAAGGTTCTTGACCCCAATCACTCCTTTGAACCAGAAGAAGCTTTCAATATTCTCTGGGAGATTGTGAACGAGGAGAAGAGCATTTCTCCCTTCAGTCACTCTGGGTGGCACTGATTCAATAGTGATCTTGGTAGAAGTACCAAGGCGCCCACACTTCCAAAGGAAGGCTAGAACGGAAGAGAGACATCTTTTTAAATTGGCAATGTTGTATTTGACTAAGCTGAGGCCCTGTGTCCTGAGCAGCTGTGCCCATTGTGAAGTTGACATTTTGTGGGTGAATGTTGCCCTGCACTACTTGGTAGAGGTCAGCACAAACCTTCATGTTCTCAGTGTCCCCACACTTGTCATTTCCACTATGTGGCTCTCTCTCTTCAATGGTCAACATTGCCCTGGATTACTGCTGTCAGATCCCTGATCACATTTACACTGGATTGGTGTTGGAGTGATGCCTGCCCACCTCTTCTACAGACCCTGTGTCTTTACTTTCTGACTTTATTGTTTTTCTGTTCCTCTTGGTGGGGCATTCAACACCTGAATAAAGCATCTAGCTTTCTTTACTACATGTCAACTCAAACAGGGACATCATAAGAACTATGAGTTTTCTTGTATTTCTTTAAAAAAACTAGAAAAACTCAAATGCATCTGGAGACTGAATAAATGAATGATGTCCCAGAACCCTATATGCCCATGGACTTATTTAAGAAACTTATAAGTTTAGGGATACAGTATTGAATCATTCAATTTGCTTTGATTTTTACACTTGTTTACATATTGTGCTTGTGTGTGAGTAGTGTAAGGACTAGCCTAATGTGTGTGTGTGTGTGTGTGTGTGTGTGTGTGTGTGTGTGTGTGTGTGTGTGTTGGGGGGGAGTCCAGGGCACAGTACTTCAGTGAAGGTCAGAGGACTTCTGTTCATTGGTATCTGTTTCCCAGACAATGAAGCAAATGCCTGTATCCATTGGACCACACTAGCTTGATTTTTATTTGGGCCATCAAGCTGAGAGCATCAGTCCTCAAAATATTGTGGTCATGCTGACTAACTTCATGTAAGAACAATGTCTCCCCCACCTTTACTGTTTAGTATTCAATGAGAGCATCTTAATGCTGAGCCTCATTCCCACTCTGTATTTTCTTCCCTACAAACACTGGGACTCTACTCCTGTCCATATACCACTCAGGAGACTACAGACAGTACATCAGTCCTCTCCTCTCACACACTGTCAACTCCTGGTCTGCTCATCTGTGAGGAGAAGCCCCTGAGATGTGGTGCAGCCTTTGGACAGGAGTACAGAGGGGCCTCCATTGTCTCAGTAGGCTGATCTTTCTTCCCTCTGAGTTACTTCTACTCCAGCACAGCTCCCAAGCTCTGCTGTCCTTCCCTCATCTGAACTGAGTCTCTTCCCAGAAAGGAGCACCTCCCAGAGTCCCATGGACTGAGGGTGGGTCACTGTTCAAAACACTGCTCTGCCCCTCCAGTTTCAGTGCTGCCCCATGTTCCTCATTCTCTCTTTATGTTTCTGTCTCTAGAATACACAGAGAGAGTCAAGAGTAATGACCATCCCTGTGACATGAGATAGCAGCAGCTGACCATGGAACTGCACTCTGCTGTGTCCTGGCCTAGGTTTGTCAGCATCAAAAAAGGTAAAACTGCACAATCATGTGACAAAGAAACCCAGCTGGGCACCCAGTCTGCTCTGTGTATTCAATGCTCTATAAACACATAATTTGCTCCCAGCAAGAAGGTGACAAAACTGACTTTGAGGCTCCAGAGGGACCAAGTGAGTGATGTGTGTGGAGAAGAACAGATCTATTCTCACTGGAAGCACCAACAGACTGAGTTCTGAACAATGTCAAAGGCCCAGGATGTATCAGGAGTCTCTGATTTTGGGTGAGAAGAGGTGACCTGATTCTTGGAAAAAGGCTGTGAGCTCTTTCATCCTGTGCAAGATTTTCAAGACCATGCTACTACTTCCTCTGTTTACTGAGCTGTGTAATGGGTTTGCCCATGTGTTCCATGATTTCTCTGAGATGCTTTGGACCTCTGTCAAGTTGGTTCCCCTTGGATATCTTGTATTTCCCAAGGAAATACATAAAGTGGGAAACAGAACATGATCCCCTGGCAGTGTAGCAGAAACATTAAGCAGCTGGTAGTTCTGAGAATGCTGTGTCCATGATTTTCAGGTCTGTAAAAACAACTACTAAGTAAGCTCCTAGTTCAGGCAAATACTTTTCTGCCAGTTCATTGTGTGTCCTGATGACATCCCTCATGTTCACCAGGGGGTAAAAAAAACTTATGTCTGGGAAGCTGTCAGATCAGCATAGTCTGTAGCCATTTGCCTGCAAGAGAGATTTCCTCAAGCTGGACCCAGCGGAAAGCACATGTTAGGAGAATCTGTGCCCTCAGTCCCTCTCCTTGGGGACCATGACCTTCATGTGAAAACTCATATGCCCAACAGGACAGTTAGTTGATGGCCTGAACATCTGTTGAGCTATGCTCCCCTGATGACTCTCTGAAGAAGATGGCCAAGGGACATATCCCAACCAAGACAGCACACTGTCTGGTTCCACACATCACAAGACATGGACTATTTGGGAGCACTGTTCCCTGCCATCAGGAAGTCAAAACCCAACACTTCAAAATGCTTCCCATGGACACCTGTCATTGACTCTGGGACAGAGATCTGGAGACAAGGCATCCTGGTGCTCACATCTCAGTGAGGATCCCATGTTTTCCTCAAACAGGCACAATGTTGATTCCCTTGAGGTCTTTCTCAAGAAACATCCCTCATAAAAACCCATACAGTCTATTCAAAGGATTATGTCCTGGGCTGAGTTACCCAACATGCATCCACCTGTGTGCAAGGTGAAGTTAAATGAAGGATTTTGATCTATTGCCGTTATTCTATACCATATGTGTCCTGAACTATGTACTCAAACCCCAACATGAGGGCACAATGCACAGGGAAGGTAGGCCCAGACCTCTCCACTGTATGTGTCCAGTGAAATCAACCTCACCCAGCTCACAGAGTTCACGACAAATCACTTACCAGACACATGGAGGTACATGGATGTTGTTGATACGATTTTTCCATGTCTATTATAGGTTTGCAGGGTATAATTTTCTGTGTCCTTCTGGTTGACATTTTCCAGCAACAGGGATCCATTGCAATATATTGTCTCTCTACCAATGTGCACATGTCCTGGCCCACTTAAATTTTTGTCCATTGTACACATTGCAATTCTTTGTGTCATATTTGTTAGACCTTTGAACCAAGCAAAGGTTGTAAGATTCTCTGGGAGATCATGGACAACGAAAAGGACGTTTTCTCCTTCAGTCACTTGGAGTGGATGTGACTCAATGGTCACATGGGCCATGGTAGACAGATGCCAGAAGGTTAAGAGGAAGGCTACAAGGAAATTGAGAAAAACCACTTATGTTAAATGAGTGTGATCATCACTCAGCTTTGATGTGTGAGTAGGGAGTGCTGACCCTCCTTTACAGACATGAGCAACAAGACTTCCATTGATTCAGCATGTCTGAGTGTGTCATTAACTCTCTTAGGAAATCTCCACTCAGGTGTCTGCCTGATTCCCCCATCTATGTCCCATATCCCTCCTTACACAGAGCATTTGGTGTGAATGAAGAGCAATGACTCTCTGAACTCCTCCTCTGGAGAGTTTTCACTTTCTGACTTTTTCCTCTGTTCCCTTTGTAACTCTAGTCAACTCCTGGCTTCACCTTTCAGATATACTGACATCATGTTCACCAGTACCAAGGCTTTCTGTTTGTTTGTTTGTTTGTTTGAATTTTGGTTTTGTCTTTGGTTTGGGGTTTAGTTTTGGTTTTTTGAGGCAGGGTTTCTCTGTGTAGCCTTGGTTATCCTGGAATTTGCTCTGTAGAGCAGGTTGGCCTTGAACTCACAGAGATCACCTGCCTCTGCCTCCCCAAGTGCTGGGATTAAAGGCCTGAGCCACTGCCTCCATTCAGAACCAGGGATTTGTAAGGGCAGGATGAGTCTTAACTTTTTGAAAGGCTCAGTTCCTGGAAAAGCCTCAGACAAATGTGGATAAGGGAAAAAAGGAACAAAGAAGGAATGTGTCTCCATGGATTTATATTCATAGTTCCTAGGTTGGAGCTTATGACAATAATTATATTCAAGGATGAAATAAATGATTTTAGATTTACTTATGTAAATATATGTGTGTATTTGTGAAGGCTGGTGTCTCCTTGAGTACATATGAAGATGTATGTCAGAAATTTGTGAGAAATCACATGTGTCAGGGTGTGCATCTGTGGGTGCATGTCACAGCACCTATGTGGAGGGCAGAGAAGAGCCTGCAGAAGTCTGTTCTTTATCTACTCTGTGAGAGCTGAGGGTTGGTTTTAGGTTGCTATATCTTCACACACTGAGACATCTCACTAGCCCTCTCCTGTTTGACTTCTATTTGGAGGGTCATGCTGCCATGGTTGGGAACAGCTGTCTTCAGAACATTGCAGCCAATGTAACTCACTGTGAATATGAAGTGTTTAAAGCTTTTCTTTTACCAACATCACTTCATATCCTCTGAGAGCTTCAGGCTGCCGGGCTTCTGTCCCTCGCTTTACCTTCTGCCCCGTGACTACAAACAGAAACCTTGAGTCTCCTCTCAAGATCTTGTCCTCTTTAAGAGACTCCAACCTGCCAGTGAATCCCCTTCCCCCACAAAGTCACATAGTGGGTACACTTACCTGTGAGCAGAAGCCCCTGCCAGGGGGTACACCCCTTGCAGAGAAGCACAATGGACCCCTCCATTAATATCTCACTTGCTGTTCTCCCTCTGAGGAGAAGAGATTCAGCTCCAACACAGAACTCAGGCTCTGCTGTTCTTCCTCCTTCTGGGATGAGATTTTTCTCAGACAGGAGCACTTCCCAGAATCCAATGGGTAATGAGTGATGGGGTTTGAGTCCAAGCACTGCTCAATCCCTTCTACTCTCAGTGCTGCCCTGCATCCCTCTCAACTTCCCTTTATAGTTCTCCTCAAAGGAACACATTGAGCAACAAGGCTGATAAGCATCCCCATGCCCTCAGAGAACAACAGCTCATCCCAGGGCTGACATTTGCTTTGTCCTGGCTTTGGGTCTGTCCTCACCAAAAAAGGAGCCTCCATCCTCTCTACATGTCCTTGTGACTTAAAGACCTAGGTAAACACCCAATCTACCCTGTGTTTTCAATGCTCTGAGAAGGTAGTATTTACTTAAAACCTACAGGAAGGTGACAGAAATGTCTCTGAGGGCTGGGAAGAAACCAGCTGAGTGATGACTAGGAATGAAGATCAATCCTTTATCATTAATGTCACAAGTCAAATTAATGATCCAGGAGAGAGGCTCAGGAGCAGTTGTGTGAGGAGTTTCATATGCTCAGTTGGGAATGAGGTGACCTGAGTGTCATTGAAAGAACTGTGGCCTCCATCTTCCTATGGAGGGTTTCAAGGCAACAGTCTAGCATTATGTGTTGGGTGTGCACATGTCCTCTATGATCTTCCTGGGTCACTTTTGCCCATTTCTAGATGATTCCCTGATTATAATCTTATCTTCACCTTTGAGAGATGTCAGGAGGGAGGGGACCTTCAGGGTCTCCTTGCAGAAAGATGTTCTCAGACAAAGGAAGAAACCAGTAGATCAGAGCAGGGTCTAGGGAGGGAGCTCAAGGTTAGTCAGGACAGAGATGGAATGCAGCCTGCTAGATCATGGGTCAGGGAAACAATTTTTGGAGCATTGAGCATATGCCCTGCTATCGCCCCTGGAGGTCACTGGGAGAACTGCAGTGTCATGTCTAGGGCTACAGCAAGCATGGTCAAAAAAGCAAATGAGAACTTCCCTGATAAGTTAGGCACAGGTAAGATGCAGGACCTGTCCTCCTAATCACTGTGCTCTTCAGGACTCCTAATTCCTTCCACTGTAGGATGGGACTAGACAGGGTTCAAGATTTGTCCTGGGAAGCCCTGGACTAAAGTTGGAAGTAGTATGTACTAGAGAAAAGGTATTTTGAGGAAAAGCCTTGTGCTCAGGAAATTTCAGAGGAAAGAACTGGGATATTTCTCTTGACATTAAAAGGACAGGAGACAGCTGGGCATGGTGGTGAATGCCTTTAATTTGAGCACTCAGGAAGCAGAGGCAGGAGGGTCTCTTAGATCCAGGCCAAAGTTGTCAATGAAGCAAGTTCCAGGGCAGCTGGGGTTACACAGGGAAATCCTGTCTGGTAAAAAACGAAAAGGAGAGGACACTAATATATGGACTGCACATGCACCTTCTGGTCAATCACTACTGTCTACATCCTACCTTCTCTTTGTCCAGAGGGTGGTGAGGGGATGTGCTCTTGAGTAAAAATCACATTGATTCAAATAGACATGTCTTCCATATATACTAGTCTATGGTTCTTTCTTTTGCTGTGATAAAAACACCCTTTAAAAAGAGAAGTTCCTGAGAGTAAAGTCCGTCTTCCTACTGGGGCTGTGTTATATTGTAGCAGTGAAGGAAGTCAAGGCAGAATGCTTGCTGCTTGCTGTCTCATTCACTTGCTCACACTCTGGTTCATACTTAGCTAGCTTTCCTATACAACCAAGAACCAAGAGTCTAGGAATGATGCTGCCCACAGTGGTCTGGGCCCTCCTGTATGAATTAAGACATTCACTCACAGAAATCTACAGACTGAACTGACTTGGTTGACACTCTGTTTTCTATTTTGTTGTTGTTCTGTTTGTTTGTTTATTTATGCAGGCTTACAACAGTTTCCCCTCCCTCTTCTCCTCCCAGTCCCTCCGCCAATTTCCCCCATTTCCATTGATCCACCTGTCTGTTTTTATGCCAATACAATATGGTTTTTCTTACTGTACCTCTAGAGCATAGCTTGAAGTCAGGAATGGTAATACACCAAGATATTCCCTTATTGTACAGGATTGTTTTAGCTATCTTGGGTTTTTTGTTTTTCCATAAGAATTTGAGTATTGTTTTTTGAAGGTCTGTAAATAATTGTGTTGTAATTTTGATGAGAATTGCATTGAATCTATACATTGATTTTGGATAGATGTCCATTTTTACTGTTAATCCTAGTGATCAATAAGCATGGGAGATCTTTCCATCTTATGGTATCTTCTCTAATTTCTTTCTTTAAATACTTGAAGTTCTTGTCATAAAAGTCTTTCATTTGCTTGATGTATTAGTTAGGGTGTCTATTGTTGTGAAGAGAAACCATGACCCTGGCCACTCTTATAAAAGAACATATTTAATTAGGGTAACTCACTTACAGTTTCAGAGGTTCAGTCTATTCATCACGGCAGAGAGCATGGCAGTGTGCAGACAGATATGGGTTTTGAGAAGTAGCTGAGATTCCTACGTCTTCCAGGCAACAGGAAAAGGTCTGTCTGTCACAAAAGCAAAGCTTGAGCAAAAGAGACCTCAAAGCCCACCACCACAGTGAAACACTTCTTTGAACAGGGCCATACCTACTTCAACAAGGCCACACCTCCTAACAGTGCCACTTCCTTTGGGGGGCATTTTTCTTCAAACCACCAGTATTGGTTAGAGTTACACTAAGTTATTTTTTATTATTTGTGGATATTGTGAAGAGTATTTTAGCCCTGATTTTTTTCTCAGCCCATTGATGATTTGTATATAGGAGGGCTGCTGAGTTTTTTGAGTTAATTTTGTAACCAACCAATGCACTGAAATTATTTATCAGCTCTAGGGGTTCTTTGGAGAATTTTTGGGCTTGGTTATGTATATAACCATATCATCTGTAAATAGTGATACTTTGAGTTCTTCCTTTCCAGTTTAAATCCCCTCAATCTCTATCAGTTGTCTTATTGCTCTAGCTAAAATATCAAGTACTGTCTTCAATAGAAATGGCAAGAGTGGACAGCCTTGTCTTGTCAATGATTTTAGTGGAATTGCTTTGAGTCTTTCTCCATTTATTTTGATGTTGGCTATTGGTTTGTTGTGTAGTGCCTTTATTATGTTTAGATATGTCCCTTGTATCCCCGTTCCCTCCAAGACATTTACCATGAAGGAGTGTTGGGCTTTTTTCAAAGGCCTTGACAGCATCAAATGAGATGATCATGGGGATTTTTTCTTTCAGTTTGTTTATATGGTGGATTACATTGCCAGAATTTCTTATGTTGAACTATCCCAGATTCTCTGGGATGAAGCCCACTAAATTATGGTAGATGGTCATTATGATGTGTCCTT